CCTGGTGGGCAGCACAGGCCTGTCACTACTTTGTATCCCAGAACAGTCACAGACAAGCCATGGGTCATCAGAGCAAGGCTGGGGGTGAGGGCAGACATCCTCTTTCCAATCTCCCAGGATTTTTTTTTTCACAGCCAAGCAAAATATCTACCTCAGTTTTAATTGAGGGTCTTCAGACTTGAGCCTAGGGTTGTGAGGAATTGAAATCTTTTCCCCACCATGGCCTCTCAATACCCCCAGAAAGATGCTACAGAAAAACTCCAGCATCTTGAAGCATCTGCTCAATGGTCCCTTTTGGCCATTGTCCCAAAACTCCCAAGACCTTCCCTGGGCCCTCTTATGTTTGTGTCTGGGGTTATGGACTAACAGCAGTGAACGAAGTGAGAAGAGGACATGAAAAGAAAAGTTAAATAACCACATGTTAGATATTATGGTTTGTTTGAAGACTGGTTGATACCACTTTGAGAAACAACAATGTACACATGAGGTCCTCTCAGTTATGTGACGTCTAAGTGCTGGGGTCTTGGGAGACCATCCCCGGTGAAGGCAATCCCTAGGGGCATGCTGAACACACAAGCAGGCCCCATCAGGTGCTAGAAGCAGGAGAGTTTCTTCCTATCTTCAGGGATATACATTGTTCTTCCAGGGAGGGGGCTGCCAAGTCTACTTCAGTCTCCAGCCTTCAGCCCAGAACATTCTTCTTTGGGATTTGGACTCAGCTGACTTACATAACCACTGAACCCTCTCCAGATATCCTTAGAGCTTTGATTAACAGTGCCAGACTCTTCTTGGTTGCTTGTCAAGAAGGTAATCACTCTAAATAGGCTTTTTCTTTTGTACTAGACCTAAGAGCTCAACAGGACAGAAAGAAACTCAGATTTGAAACTTTAATTTCCTACAGTAGAGTGCAGGGAAAACCAATACAAAACAAACAAACAAACAAAAAACCCCCTACAGGTAACATGCATTTATGAATTAGGGAAGAGAAATCTTTACTAATTTTTCTGACATAAGCAATTTGTTTTATGAAAGTCCTCAAATTTGGGTTGCTATTGGACTCAATTACAAAGTTATTTACTGACTTTCTTTGTGCCTGTGTTCACCAGAACTCGTGGATGACCCATGGAGGCAGTTCCACATAATTGTCAAGACTACGAAGTTACAATAAAAAAAAAAAACAATAATAAAAAAAAAAGACTATGAAGTTAGGTGTCAGGCAGACCTGGGTCCAAGTTTAGCTCTTCCACTCGCTACTTATATGACCTTAGGTGGGTCTCTTAACTGTATGAGTCTCAGTTTTCTCATATGTAAAATGAGGATAAAAATAGTTTTTGTTGAATTGTTGCAAATATTAAACGAGGAAAAAAATATAAAATACTTCATGACCTTTGAGACCTAACAGGTGCCCAATGAATGACAGCTGAGCCCCTTCAACAGTGCTGCGTCCTCAGAGGGTTATACCCACTTGCAAAAGTGATTTGTATGTTCACTGATATATTTGTTTTGTCCACATGTCCCAGCTTCTTCCTAATTCCTTTCCTGTTCTTAAGTGGGGAAAAGAGTTCCTTCCCTACCAACTTCCTAGGGTTGTTTTGAGCATGACAAAGGACAGAGGGACACTTGGAGAAGCATGAAGCCCTGCACAGCTCAAAGCAGGAGCTGAGAATCAGACAACAACAGGAAGCTACAGCATCTTGAGGCCTTTCTGGCAGCTGCAGGAGGCCTTTGCCAAATATTCCCAAGTACTCTGCCAGGAGCTGCTCCTGAGCTCACTGGTGCTCTGCTAGCACAGGAACAAGCAGGACTGCGGGAGGGGCACCTTCCTCCGAGCACCTGTCCTAAGCAGGATGTGCTGAGCACACATACTGGCTTCCTGAGAATCCCACTTCCTGTGCTGCATTTACAGACCTGAGCTCCAGCAACACAAAAATTGCATTGCTATTGCTTCATGGTGGTGGAAGGCAACCATCAAAATCATTTTAAAAACATAAACTATTTTTATTATTGTAGATCACTTTTAGTGTATGTTTGTATGTGCCAAAATATTAGACACTTGATATGCTTGTTGTCATTTAACCTTCATAATCAATACTGCCCCTAGACCTGGGCAAGCAAGGTCCTATCCATGACTTCCTTAAAAATGTCCAAGTCCCTTTCTGGTATCTAGGACCAGCAATGCTATCAGGGTGGGACATTTCAGGTTCCTCCTCAGAGTTCTCTCCAATGATGATCATCTTCTACATCTCTCCATGCTTGATAGAGGTTGACCAGATGCCTGGAGTAGTCCCGGGCATCATGCCAATGGAGTTTCTTGGTGGTTGTATGGGGCTTTGAGATGGCTCCATTCCAGGAAAAGAGCCTGAAAGGCAATTGCTTCCTCAGGTTGGCATGACATTTCATTCCCATGGTTGAACAAGAGTGGGTCATGGACACACAAAATGAAATTATTTCTAGAGACAAGGACCACCCCCCCACACACACACAAAAATGCCCAGGGTCCCATGTGGTGGTGGGGAACCTATTCTTAGCATTGATATAAGGTGTACACTCTTCCACGTAACATACAGAGAGGGGAACAGAGACTTGGAGATACCAACTTCCCAAAGTAACACATTTAGAGAGCAGAAGAGCCAGGATTCAAATTCTGGAAGGTCCAACCTCAAAGCACAGCAACAGCTAATCTCCCAGATTTCCTTATCTGCCTCCACTAAGATGCGGCTGCCCCAGTGAGGCTTACCCTTTCCTTATCCCAGGGATTTTTGATGCTGTTTATTGTTCTCTCACGACTGAACCTGCTACAAGCCATCATGCAGCATGCTCTCATTCAACTGCACTCTACCTGGATCCCTGACCTCCTGCCTTCTCCTGCTGACAGACCTTCTCTTTCAGGAACAGCCACAACTTATTCCAAAAATATCTGATTTGACTCTCTTTCAGTAGAAGTATTCAGTAGAAGCACCAAAGCCATCAACCATAAAATGTTAGCCCCAGCAGAAATCCCCATGTTTGGTTTTTATCCTAATTTGTGGAATAAGTTGGTTTTTTTTCAAAAAAAGAGATTTTAAGCATCCACCAGATGTGGGGCCAATATTTGAGGGAGGTGCCCAAAGCTGCAGGAGGCATGGTCACCTGGTCCTGAGCAAAGTGTTTTTGGAATGGCAGAAGCCATGGTTTCTCCATCCTCACTCCTTGCTCCCCTGAAAGGCCTGAGCTTAGAGTATGAAGTAAAGACTATTGGAGAGAGAAAGGATTGATTTTGACAGTGTGAGCAGTTGACTAGGTATCACTCGTAAAGGCATGTTACAAGGGGCTGTCACCATCAGCATCAGTTGGAATCGGAATCCTGTCAGGCCTTAGCACTATGCTGGCCACCAGCCCTTCCTTGTCCTAGTCAAAGCTCAGTACAGCCATAGTGTGATGTCACATCACACTCACAAGGATGGCTAGAATCAAAGTTAGATAAGAGCATGTGCTGGTGGAACCTATATATGAAATGGGAACACATATATGTTGCTGGTGAAAATTAAAAATGGAGCAGACACTTAGTAAAATAGCCTAGAAATTTTTCAGAAGTTTGAACATAGAGTGACCATGGGTCCCAGAAATTCCACTCCTAGGCATGTGCCCAAGATAACTGAAAACATGTCCATACAAAAACATATACCTGAATGTCCACGCTGGTGTTATTCATAACAGCCAAAAGGTAAAACGACCTCAATATCCACCAACTGAGAAATGGATAAACAGAATGTCATTAATCCACACCATGCAATATGGCTCAGCCCCAACAAGGAATGAAGTGCTGGTACAACTTAGATGAACCTTGAACACACTACACTCGGTGAGAGAAACTAGATGCAAAAGACCATATATTATATGAGTCCATTCCTATGAGATTTCCAGAATAAGGAGATCTACAGAGACAGAAAGCAGATCTGTGAATTCTTAAGGATGGGGAATGGGGCTGGAAGAGTTAAGGTGGGGACAGACAGAATAACTAAAGGGTATAGGGTTTCTTTTCAAGGTAATGAAAATATTCTAAAATTCACTGTGGTGATGACTGCACCCATCAATGACTGTACTAAAACACACAGAATTGCATACTTTAAATGAGTAAATTATACAACATATGAATAACTGTTAAAAATGAATTGCAATGAAACAGCTTAATATAGGCTAACTACTTTTTCTCACCTAAACTTAAAGCCATCTTGCCCTCCTCTCTGGCTGTCCCAGAATTACCAGGTATTAGTACGCTTTCTGTCATTCTTGACTCAACTACAAAAATATGTAAGGACTGTGTCTAATAGCCTTCTGCCTCCTGTACTAACTCAAGGACTGATTTTGACAGGGTGTGGCCAGATGGGCAGGTATCATTGTCATCAGTAAAGGCACCATTACAACTCCCAACTCTGAAAACTCCATCCTCAGACCTGGCTTTCTCTATTTCTTTCCCTGGCAGAAGGATCAGTGGCTACAGTTTAATGAACATCACTGAAAAGAAGTATCAGTAAGTTCTCTCAATATGAAAAACTATTTTTCTTTTCTTTTAAAATATTTCACAAGACAGCTCTCCCCAGGTGGCAGCACAGTTTGAACTCCAATTTTATTTAGGTCACCCCTCACTAGAATCACTCAGCTGCCTGCAATATTTCTTCTTTATTCCTCCTTTGTTATATGAAAGAACAACATCTATTGATAGAGATCATTCTTTTCCATCACACTTCCTATTACTAAAACTAATAATTGTAAAGGCTTGGAAAGAGATACATTTGTTATCGAGATTATAAAATCATGGGCTGAAATACTCTCAGAGTTGAGCTCCGTAGCTGTACTTAGGTTACATTCTCCATTTCTTCTACCCTCCCTCCCATTAATTATATATTAAGGATAGTGTTTCCTTTGAAGAACACTTTGGGAAAAATGGTTTAGATAGTACTTTATTACTTATGTCAATCACAAAACACGAAACCATGTCCAGACTGGGCTCTTTTACTTACCAAAAGGATCACAGCTGTTCAACCCGTGCTCAGGTGGGCCACGGTCCTTGGGATACAGAAACAACAAATAGGCAATGGTGGCTTGCCTGTGAGCAGAGTAGGGCATCCCAGGGACACTCAGGTCCTGGACAATCAGTCTCCTTCTGAAAGAGCCCCTGGTATTGCTTCTCTCAGATGAAGCGACTTTGCTTTTCTCAGAGAGGCACTGTCTCCCCAGACACTTTAAGCCAAGGAAGGAAGGCATTTTGGCATGGATGAGAAAGAAATGAAGAATGGACACCAGGAGCCCAAGAAACTGTGCTGCACCAGAGTGTGTTCTCTCTCTCTCTCTCTCTTTCTCTCTCTCTCTCTCTCTCAGCTCTCCTGAATCCCTATGATCTCTTTCTTGCACTGCCCAGAAAAGAAGATTAAGAAAGATGTATTTAAGAGATTACCCTTCAAGAGCTTAGGGCTCCATATTCTCAGTCAGATGATTAGGTATAAAAACAGCCACTACCAGGAACTCAAGGCTACGTGGGTCTGAGACACGAATGCATGTTTGAAAACAAGGTTGATGCTGAATCTAGAGCAAAAGAACAGGGCTGCAAAACCTAAAAGAATTCTGCAAATATTCCTAGAATATCCACATCATCTGGAAGAGTACTAAGAATAGGCCCAGGCATGTAGACTCATGTGTATATAATCTAAAAATACATAACAAAGGAGAAAAAAAAAACCTCCAGGGTAACAGTTCCAGGTTCTCCAGCATTTCAGATCTCACAGAGCAGGGACCTCAATTAAAGTTCCTCAGTTTCAACTAGTGACAAGTCCAGCTCCAGGCCACAGTAATCATTTCCTTTCCATGTTCTACAGGGGGACTCCTTCCCCTCATGCTGTCAAAATCCTCTGTCTCTTTCCACTCGTCCAAAGCTAATAATAGTTTCAAAGCTGTTTCATGTTTTTTTCTGTTCTTGCAGAATCAGCAGAATTAGAGGGAGGAGACAGAAATGCCAGGTTTTCACAAGGCTATTCTGTTATATGCTGGCAGGGCTGTCACTCGATTAAGGGGCTGATACACAAAGGACTGCCCTGGTAATGGGCATCTATCCTCTGACACCTACATGGGAATGTCAGGTATAATATGTGAGTCTATAACCATGCAATGGTCACGAGTCCAAGTGGACAAACCCACACCACTGCTCCTTCACTGGGCTATGAGGTCCTAATAAAAATTTCTTTTCATTAAAACCACTTTTATACTTTAAACAGAATAAGATTACCAAGGTGGAAAAGCCCTCCAAGACCATCCAGTTCAGTGGTTCCCTGTGCTTAAGAACCATCTGTGGAATTTTCAAAAACTACAAAATCTAGGGTACCAACCAGACCTCCACGTGAGATTCTGTGGAGCCCAAGAACTCCAATTTCTAAAAGTTCCCCAGACCAGAGCCAGCATTTGAGAAACCCCGGTCTACTCCAGCATTTCAGAAGAAGCCCTAGTAAGCCTCAGAGAAACCGAGAGACTTTTGCATGACAATCTAGAAAGCCTAGGAGGAGCCAGTCCCCTACACAAAACTCTTCTTTTCATAGTAGTCAGAACCTTCCGCCAAGGTTCTGGGCGAATGAAGAAAGAAAAGAAATCCTTGCTTCATTTGTTTCTAGCCTCTGTTATTACTGAAGGATTTGGAAACAGAATTCAAGAACCAGAGAAACCAAATTTGCTAGAATTGCTCTAGCCTAATGGGAAGCACAGTAAGAATGGATGAACGAGACTGCCCTGAGGCTTCCCGGCCTGGAGAGAAGCTGGGGCAGTGGAAACACGGGAGATGAGAGACGCTGGCAAGACACACCTCGAAATTTCTGTAACAAAAGTTTGGGAATTAAATCCTAAATACCAGCCTTCTCCCCAAAGAAAATTCTTTCAGGTTTCCTCTTAAAACAGGTTATGAGGCATGTAAAATAACCTGTATGTTATATTTCTTGCATGCCTATTCTGAAGATATGAAATGTAAAATAGCTTCTCAATGATTTCCCAAAATGTAGTCCAGGACCAATTTGTTTAAAATTCAGATTCCTGCAGCCCACCTAGTCTGAGTAGATTCTTCTAGAGTGTTTTCCTAGTAAACGCTGTAGTGTCTCTGTGAGACAGAGAAGATGACATTTAATTTTCTCAATAACAGGATTACGTGAGAGAAGTCTGATACATTTCAAGAATTTTATGTCAGGGTAAAAGGAAAACTAAGGGGGGATCCTAAAGAGGGCTGGTGACAATGACAAAGGTTTTCTTGCTTTTAAAAGACAAGCTAAGGCCAGCGCCTTTCTCAGGCAGTAGAGAGACGGGACAGTCCAGATGCTGGCTGTCTGAGGTTTGGGGCCAGAAGTGACCAGTCACCTGTGAACTAAATTCCACTTTCCAGGTGCCCAGAGTTTTCAACTTAACCTCCTCCACACAGGTCAGAGTAAACACCCAGCTAATGATGATTACAAATGCTTAATCCTCATCCGAGGTTTTTCTAGCCTGTATATCTGATCAGTTAGGAAGTTCCTAATCTTGCTAAAAACAGTTCCAATGCACCTTAAACAAACTGGTATTTGATAAGCTATGAAAAAAGACCATTGGCAGGAAAATTCACCAAAGAGCTTTAGGCTGTACCAAGAGGCCCTGAGTACTCTGCCTATAGTACTATAGGAGCTTAATAAATACCTGATGAGATGAACCCAACCCAGAGCCAAGTGTTTGGGGACTGCACGGCACTCAGGGAATGTATGCCATAAATATCACTCTTGTCAATCACAGGTCAATCCACATAGCAGTTACTCAACACTGTCTTTAATACGTAATGCAGATTCAGGTCTTTTTTTTTCCAGACAAGTGACCTCCTCTGCTTTTAAATCAACTAAAATCTACCTGCTTCTTACTAAGGAAAAAAAAAATTTTGTTTCAGAGACCAAGCAACACCTTAAAATGAGAATCCTTATGGAATCTGGCTGTCTAAGGAAATGCTCTGAAGTTAGCCCGCAGCTTTATTGATGATAATCGGGTCAGTTGGTTTTTGGATATTTTTTTAAAATCAAAATAAGCAAACAAAATTGCTCAACAAGCCTCCCCGAGATACCTGCAGTTGCTCACAATCATCAAGATAATCTTTGCTGCTGAGCAAAGAATAAGCAGAGAAAGGACTTTTTTAAAGTAGCAAGGCTCCAGAAGAGGTGCTATCGGATTTGCCAATGTCAACTTAGACCACTGGAGATTCTTCCCCTCTAGCAGCTGCTTCTGCTCGCGGCTACAGCAAGAAATAAAATGAGCCCTGCTCGTCGGCATCATCAACCCTGGGAATCTTCTCTGCAAAGCCCAATGTTTAAGGGGTCTTACCCATCCCTCCAAAGCAGGCCGTGATTTTCTGAGCATACTGGCACAGGCTCCTGTCTGGGCAGGGCTCCTCTGGAAGGCCTGCTTCGTCCATCACTCTGCAAGCAGCTGCCTTTCTTCCTGTAATGCCACTCGCCCAAGACCTGCTCAAAACGGAACAAGCAGCCAAGCCCCCTCTTCCAGATCATCTCCATTAATAATTCAGATACTACATAAAATCTGCTGAGCATTCAAGATTGAGAGCACCAAGGTACTCTGAGGACCAAAGCATAATTAGTTTAACAGACATCGGGCATCTCAAATTACTCTCTGACGATATTCTCCATAGGCAAGATTTCCAAATAGCAATGAGAGGCAGTCTTGGATTGCCTTCAAGGAAGCAGCCACAGATGAGATCGGCTGGGAGAAGGGTCACAGGCATCCCCAAAGCTCAAGCCCCATATGTGAGACAAGACGGGTCACACGGTGCCATCCACCAGGCTGGGGTCTCCGTCAGTGGCCCAATCTTCTCTATACTCTGAACACATGGCTAACTCTCTAACACTTTATCTTTCCCATGCATCTCTCAGAGACTCCTCAATCTCCTTTCCATTGGAATCTTCTGAAAATTCATTTGTGCTTTAAAATGCAGCTCAAAAGTTACCTCTTCCATCAAGACTTCCAGAATCACTCTGGCTAGAATCAGTTTCTTCCCATCTTTTCCCCAAATAGCAGCTCTACCATGGGATTCATCATAGCCTGCCTTGTAACAGAGTCACCTAGGGACTGTCTTATTTTCCCTGTCAGCTGCTGAGCTTCTGGAGGGCAAGAATCTTGCTTTTGTCACCATTTCCTTTGTGTGGGGCTCTGTACATACTAGGTACTCAATGCCTTGTGAACAGAGTTTGACAAATTTCTGTGAAAATCACTGTGAGATATAAGTATCCAATATTTGGGTGAAAGTATGTTTTATTTTTATCAAAGCCATGGTTTACTGCTTTCCTAGGAAATGGAAATGCATACATTCTATACGTTTTCACATGCTGTCTGAAAACTCTTACTGCGGCACATACAGCTGCAAGCTCCTGGTCGGGGAAGGCACCAGGTGGCAGGCACATGCCCAAGAGGCCCCCGCCAGCTGTGGCTACAGGAAACAATCCCAGGCGCTGGTAATCAGGAGGCAGGTCACCCTTGTTGGTGGTATGAATAGCTGAGTGGAGAACCGAAACCCCAGCATCAGCACTCTCGGCCCAGAGCTGACAGAGGTGCTGACCCTGGAGCAGGTGCAGGGCTCCCTGTGCTCTTCCCCTCCATGGCCCTCCCGGGAGGCAAAATGCAGAGGGAAGCGTTTCCAGTGGCACAGTTTGAAGTATTTATAATTCATCTGTCTCAACACAGAAAAGTTCCAAGTCACTCTGGCAAACCTCGCATTCACTGTTAATGGACTAGACAATCTCCAGGACCCCAGATCATCTATTTCCTGACTACATCGTAATCAGGTCTTCTTGTTCACTGGCTTCTTTTCTTGAGATCATTGACCTATGGGTTTAAGTTTTGACTTCACAGAACTTCCTGGAGCTGTGGTCATAAGAGTTACATAAGATAGACAAGGACTAGAACAGGAGACCTGGTTAAAAATCAGTGCCAGTCTTTTTCCCCCACCCTTTGGGTCTGTGAGCTAACTTCATTCTACAAATACATATGGAGAGCCTACACTATGACAGGCCAGGTATAAGCAGTCTTTATGTTTTGTTTTTTTTTTTTAATTTTTGCAGTCCTGGAGATTGAACCTGGGCCTTAAGCTTGCCAGGCCACACTCTACCACTGAGCTACACCACCAGCCCAGTGTTAGTGGTCTTATTGATGAATAAGCTGGGGACTCTCAGAGAGCATGTAATTAGCAGGAGACCAGGCGTGGACGTGCCTAACTACAG